TGTCTCTTGTATCCGGTGTAAGATCGACTCTTAATCCGAACGCGCCTCTGTTCATTCCGGCTTCGATGAGACAAGTCGAGGATTTCTCGCCTGAGTGGTGGGACCTCGTGACAACCTCCACCTGGTTCAGGGACTATTGGGTCAGCCAGCACCAAGGAGACGATATTTTTGGTGAGATTGATGTTGATGTTGATGGTTACAACGTTGTCGGTTTGTTGCCTGATAACATTGATCTCGATGTTGATGAGGATATTCTGAATATGGAAGCTCAGTTTGAGGAGTTCCTTCAGTCGAACGAGGCTGGATATGGTGGGAAGGCGTTTGGAGGAGCTGCGGGATTTGGTACGCGAAATTCTTGATACGTCTTTCGTGGAAATTAATCTTTATTATTTTTATCGGTTCGAGTTTTATTGAAGATTGAGCATTTTTATGCAATGTGTTCGCTTCAAAAGTGCGATTTGAGTATCAAGATAAAGTAAAGCATTAAGGATATAGGATTTATAATGTAACCAGCATTGTGAAGTACTAAGTTTAGACATAGCATTACTTTTACAGGAAATTTGAAATGTATGAAGGGGTATGTATCGATAATTTGTGTGATTGAGCCAAATGCATATACGTGTGATCGGGCTTTAGCTTGGTTGATGATCTCATCTTTGATCTTTTTATGGTTTAGGTTTTGGGAAGAACCCTGGTGCAATAATCAAGAGTCTCAACATGCATAGAGGCCCTCCAAGGGAACCGATTAGGCGCTTTGAGAAACCGGCCAAGCATGTGAGCCCGAAACCAAGCCCTCGTTTTATTCAGCAGCCCCGTTGAATATGTTTAGCATTTTTAATCGCTTAGGCCCGATAATTTGCAGTTTGTCTCAGCTGGAGCTCAGTGTCATTTTATGTTACTTGCAACTTTCTGTATAGAGCAAGGTAGCTCTTTGTAATTTTAGCCTTGTTCATAGTCTGACGTTGGTTGTTCAGTTATTAACATGGAAAAAAAAAAGTGTCGGAGTAGTGCAAAAGAGTTTATTGTAGAACTCGTTTACACAAAATGAAAAAATAAAAAATAAAAAATTCCATTTTAATTGAATACGTATGTGATATCTTTGTTCATTATTTTTTGGATGGTGAGAAGATAGTGATTTGGTTAGAGGTCCATTTAGAGGTGACCAACTTTTGGGCCGCGCCCGGGCCATAATATTGAGGCCCGGGAAAAAAAAGAAAAAGTGTCGGAGTAGTGCA